TWMYTCTAATGACATTTATTCCTTCCTTTATAGCTTCTACACTTAACTATTGATCATTGCATTATTGAAAGTTACTTTATTCCTTAAGTTGGTTTCTCACAAGCAGTAATGTAAGTTATAACTCAGCACAACAGGACCACCTTGTGCTCATCAGTACCAGCCAACATTTGATGTTGGAGGCTCATGTGACAGATTCAGGACTAGCAGATGAGAAGAGATGGCATTTCTCTTTTCTCTTGTGATGGAAAGACATCTTTGTCGAAGAGCTGTGCATGGATTTGGTCAGGCTGAGGAGGGGGCTGGTTGTGGGAGTGCTGCAGTTTTAGCACACTCTAGTATCTGTAGTGGTTTGTGAAGTTTGTTCCTATACACATTTTAACCATATTATGTGGCTGTGCTCTGAAACTGTGTCAGAATGGTGTATCTTCATCTTTCATTTCATGTCTCTCTCTGATTTCTAGGAGTGTTTTACTGTTCACTGTAGTTACAAGTAGCCAGATGCTCTTGGCCCCAACTTCAACAGAAATCTTTTTATCTTCTCATTACAGAGACAACTTCATGCAATTCTCCTTTAAATATAAGGGACTTATAGAGGGATAGAGAGGGAATTTATGGCAGGGCAAGGCTTCCCTTCCAGGCCARTCCTCTTTTACAAAAGAAATGCCCTCAATTACCAAAGCAAATACAGCTGTTTGGTGTCACTCRAACACAAATATGGAATTCCCACTGCCCTTTGTGCTCTTCCAGAAGTGTAAACACCCCTTAAAGGTCAGTATTTTAAAGCAGGTTGAMTCTGCTTTACCTTTTGTGAAATATTAAATTCAGAGTAAAGACAGAACCCAGCAAAATAAAGATGCAAATACAGTTGGAAAACTAAAAAGAGAAGGTATCTTAAAACAAGTCAAGCATTTTGGAAAACTTAGTTAGCAATGTTTGGGGAAAAAAATATTAAAACCCCAACACTTAATGTGCTTGAAAATGTCACCTTGAAAGAAAAACTAATGATTCTGGAATTGGATAAACTTGCTGAACATGGTCTTTCCTGAGCATGATCTGTGCTGTAATGATTTGTAATTTAATTTTAAGATTTAAAGTAAATCATTGTGACACCACTTGATAGTGCACCTAGCTCCAATCACCATGAAGAAGGTGAACACTATGCACCTGTCATAAAACTCCTCAATTACTCTTCTATTACCAGTTAATAGAAATTGAACAAGATTCTTTGATACAAAAAGCATGCCAGAAGTCGCTGCTTAGGTAAGTTAAAAGGCCATGTTTGCACTCCATCCAATTAAAAATAAATAAAATCAAGTCCTTCTTTCTTGACCTCTTCACCACAGCCACTTTCTCATTCTGTCTACTGAAATTCAAGGGGTTTTTTTTTTATTATTTTAACCACAAGCTACTGTGTGCAGGAGAAAGACAAGACTCCTTAATGCCACTGTAATGCAAACAACACAAATGTTACTCAAAAAATACTGTGCTGCCTCAATAAGTAAACACTGAGGCAGTACAAACTCAAAAAGTCCTGTAGGATTATTCTCAAAGCTTTTTCTTGTCTCTTTTCTCACCTAAGTGATATGATATGATTCTCTGTTTACAGAAGGTTTCTAAATTCAAAAGTTGAAAGATCTGCTTTAGAAAGGATAGTAAAAAGATTTTAAGATACATGGTAAAGTGCTCAGCTGTTGAATGAATAGTGAAGTATTACTATTTATTATTTATCACTATTTCTGTTAGTGAACTCACACAGAAGATGAGTATTAAAAACTGCTTTTCAGTCAGATTGTTATGAAAAACAAATTTCACAAACTTTGTGATGAATTGCATGTTCAAAAAATAGATTACATTACGTGAGTATCTTTCTATAATTTCTTTTTTGTCCTTTGTTCAGTGAAACCTTTTTTGTTGAGATAAGAAGAACCTTGGCATTGTTGATCTTCAGGTTTATTTTTAAAGAAAAAACACGCTTAAATACTCTAAAGGTCAGCTGTTCTTCCATATACACACTAATAGCAGGAAATTAGAGTGCTCTACACCTTCATAGTGACTACTGTTCATGGCAAAGCATCTCCTTAAAAATATGTTAGTACATGAAAATTTGATTTTTTTTAACTTGTTCAAATTATGTTTCAAGTCCTTATGGTTGGAAGAAAAGCCTGAAAATGTGATGGCTTTAAATGATCTAGCAAATAAAACATTTAAAGAACTCTGATGTAATTCKAATAGTCTCAGGAATTTTAAGAACTTGCATTTTGGCAATGTTCTCAGTGTTTAGAGACAGCTGTATTTACTGTGCTGGAGAAGCAAAAGCAGTCGTAAAAACAGCAAAAAAAGCTAGCACCCAGCTCTAAGCAAGTGTACAAAACAAAGCCTGGTTTTGTMCACTGATTTAAACAACTAAAAGGGCTCTTGAAAATCAACAATCCAAAYTTGCCTTTCCTCTGCTGATAGAACATAGAGCAGCTCTTTGTTTCAGTATCATTACTCAACATTTGCCTTGGCACAAGAATGGCTCCTCCAGCCTGCACGGGGAAAGAAGGGAGAATTTTCCTTCCTCCAACCTCAACTATTGTGCTTTGCTGCCTGCAAATTGTTGTCTCCTGATTTTGAAAGGACCTGCAAAAGGACACAGAAGGCCAGCTGTAACTCAAACCCTGCAAAGTTACCCCCAGTGATGTGACAAAATGCCAAGGCTGTGCCAACCTTGCCCCCTGATACTGCTCTCTGTTTGTGTCTCCAGAAAAACAGCCTTATTAATGACACAGTTTCTTCCCTGAATTTTTCACCGTGTGCAAGCAAAGGTGATCCCTTTCCTAATAACAAATACGGCGATTTAACCTTAAGGGAACTGCTGGGAAGTGCATTCAGCTGCTGTGTCTCCATGGTATTCAGTATGTGGCACACTTGTGGCAAACTTGTATCTTTTAAAAACTTCTTATTTTTATCTGGTTTTCCCCCACTTTAAAGGTACAAATTGAGGTTCACTGTAGTTAAAATTGATAAAGAGGTCTTATTTTATGCTGTGCAAGTATTCACTTTAAGGCACAGCCCAACAAATACAAATGGGAGTTACTGGAATGTTAAATTGCATGTGCTCTGTGTTTGAGTGATTTCTTTAATCAATTTTTCTTCCTCCATTCCGCCATCTAAAAAATACCTAGAAATAAAGCAGAAAAAAACACTTAAGTGCTCAATTAAAACTTTTGCTTAAGTGCTCAAAAAAAACCTTTTTTTCTGTGCTTTTCATTATTTTTTTATAACAATTTTATACCTAATTTTTGAATAAAGGATCATGTGAGATGATCTCTTCTTTGACCAGATGATGCAGAGCTGTCTATCAAATTGAGTCAAACATTATCCATCCACTTAATCAGTGCAATATTTTCTGCTAATACAGCTGGTTCTTTCTTGTTTACTACTGTAGAAGTTGTAGGAATTTCAACAGCAGCACTGTGCTGTTCATTTGTTTTACTGCAAACAGAAGGAGGTGGCTGAGATGGTGCCACAAGAAAAAGTGGAGTTCTTTTCAGCTTCACCACACGGTTATTTACAGGTTTTTTACTCCCTGCAAGCTGGAATGTCATTTGGCCCAGTGTCCCATTGCCAGCACTCTGCCTTCCCCGGGGATCCCTGGAATTGCTGGGCACTGATGAGCATTTTGTGGATGTGGTTTCAGAAGATTCTTTGTGCAGCTTTGTCAGACTTCTTTCACTATGAAGTCGTTTAAGAATTGCTGCAGAATGTGAAGCATCACCAGCAGCTTGATTTTCAAGCTGAATTCTTGATTTTCTTGCTGAATTCTTGATTTTCAAGCTGAATTCTTGATTTTTATGTGGGTACTTGTTGAGGGACCTGAGAAAATAATTGGCTTGGGACATACTTTACATGGTAAAGAGCCTTCCTCTTCAGTATAGTTGATTAATCGTCTGTAAAACAAAGAACTTCAATTAAAAAAAAATCAGCTATATACATAAATCCTTTTTTTGTAACATTAGTACAGAACAAAYCATGTGCAGCAGCCATCCACAAATAGGTTTAAATGATACTGTGACAAGCATAAATCACAGCTTCCAACAGTTCATCATTACAATCAATGATTGGTACATGCTTTTTTGTGAACAGAACCATCAATCTCTTTCACCTCTGTAAGATGACACACAAAAACTGTAGCAGCAAAGTGGCTCAGGWAATTGTGCAGTGGCACCTGCAAAAGGATGCTTTTGGTAATGCACTGAGAATGGAGGTGYAATCAAAAGTATCACTGTAAAACTGCAGAGAGGAAGTTCTAGAAATTCCTTCTAAAAAAAGAAGACATCTCACATATGTGAAAATCAGTTAACCTTCTAAAGTTTTCACTTAAATTTATGGTTTAGCAGTSCATTTAATACTTGCTCTCTAGTTTTTGAAGTTACTTCTTGCCAGGCTGCTGAGACATCTCAGACATTTCTTGCCCCAAAACAGCCACTACTATTTTACATTATAGTAAATAACATTATGCATAGTTTTTATTATACTTTAATGGCAAATATTTTTCTTATTTTTTTGTTAAAAAGTATAAATACTGAAATAAAAAATTACTACTTTACTTTTCCCTACCCAGGCATCGAAAGCACCCATCACCTTTTTCAGCTCAGCTACTGAGTAATAGCTCCAGATGTATTGGATGTTATTTCCAGCTTCTTAGAAATATAGTTTTAAAGGTAGCAGTTATGTGATTAGTTAGCTAAGTCCTTAAAAATATACCACTGATTAAATATATAATTGTTTTTTCAAAATCCCACAATTAAAAGAGTTAGAATCAGTTCCAGTACACATCTAGTCAAACCTTCCCTGAATATTGCTCAAGTTTTACTGTATTTGNAGCACCCATCACCTTTTTCAGCTCAGCTACTGAATAATAGCTGCAGATGTATTGGATGTTATTTCCAGCTTCTTAGAAATATAGTTTTAAAGGTAACAGTTATGTGATTAATTAGCTAAGTCCTTAAAAATGTACCACTGATGAAATATATAATCCTTTTTACAAAATCCCACTTATAAGGACTTAGCAGTAAATGTTTTACAATGCAGAAAGGAGAATGTTACTCTGATTTTGTTTTTATACGAGTAAGAGGTTCTAATCATCCTATGAATGCCTATTGCTAAGAATATTCATGGATATTCATGAAAGAATAGATGTTCATAGAATAATTACAGAATTTATTATGTAAAACCTATTTTTCTAGAATACACAGTAGGACAACCTGATATGTTTCCAAATACTCTTGGAATAAATATTAATGTTCCCAGCCTAAATTTAGGAAGATATGCATCCAAATTATAAAGATGACAAAGTGCCAAGAGCTCTATCTTAATCAAAAGAAGCACAGTGGGACCAAGAGAAAGACTATCTGCTTCCAGTGCTAAGTACAGGTCTACCAGTAACATCAAATTACTGCCTTGTAAATATATTAATAGTGTAGAACACATTCTTTAAAGAATTAAATTCTATTCCTTTCAGTGTTCAGTTGATTTAAAAAAACCACAAAAAAGAGCTGCATTAATCATAATCAACTTTGGAAATACTTCGGGAGGGTTTTCTGCATGGGAATTTATTCACTGTATTTAATGTATATACTACAAAGTAATTTTTAATTTTTGAGACATTTTTAAAGTGTCAGACAGAATAAGAATTAGAGCAACTGTGTGTTAACCACCTTGTGGGAACTCTCTCAAATTCTTGCCCTTCATGCTTGTTTCTTAGCTTGTTTATTTGTTTAATGTGGCCATTCTATTAGCCAACTGTTTTGGGAGCTGGAAAGATTCCTTCCTCAGATTCATAGTACAATAATGCTACATTATGCTACATATGATAATATTTAAACATAAGATGTATTTATGCTCAGTTGATAGTGCTTTACTGAGTTTGACAGTCACGTTACCCAAAATCCCCCAAAAAACCCCCAAAAAATGCAAAAAGTTCATAAAAATAAAAAAAAATCTCACATTTTGGAGGAGCCTTCTGCAAGAAA